TTTACTGTGCAGCCAGAGACCCTCTAATGAGGGGACAGAGACTACTTCTGAGAACTGAGCCAAGGCAGCCCATCATCTGGGACAAGCAGAAGCACAGGGCCCTGCCAGCATCTCACATTTTCCAAACTTCCAGTACCGTGGTGGCCTGTGGTGTGCACGTGGCATATACTTCTGTGAGGACTCCTAGGTAGGGAGGAGTTGGAATGAGCTGCAGTTGGAACTCACCCAGTTGGGTTTTCCATTCTGATGTCTCAAGTTGGTGTTAAAGATTGCATTTGCATAATATTAACCCACATTCCCAGGCACATAATGCAAAATCCATCCTGAAGATGATGTGGTTAAAAACAAAAACGAGAGAGAGAGAGAGAGAGAGAGAGAGAGAGAAGAAAGAAAAGAAAGATGAATAAAATTAAATAGAAAATCTGAGTAGCTTATTTTTTAAATTAATTGTATCAGTACATTTAATGGATACAATATAATGACATGCGTTGTTGAAAATTTGCACCTTTATATAATCCATCATGGTTCTTATTTTTCCCCATTCCCCTGCCCTCCCTTTAATCCCTCCCTCTCTCCCAATCTACAAAGACTTTGTTTCTATTATTTTTCATTTTCTCATATTAATTCCATTTCCTTCTTCCCTTTTCAGTAGCGTATCACCATTGATTGTGCCTTTTGTTCCCCTCAGTTAGTAAAATTAGTGGTTACATTGTTTGGTTATTTTGATCTCTAAAATGTGTAAATATAGAAAAGCCCAGGACATACATAATTTTATTCATTCCTAATTTTCAAAGACTTTAAGAAAAGATTAAAAACTGGAGCTATGGTGGGCAAACTACAGGCAGAACATTTCCAGTGATTTTTCCAAATTTCACCCTTAGCTGGATCTACATGGGTTGCTATAGGTAAACATTCACAAATAATTCGATGATGAAGACCACTAAATCAGAAACTAAGTAAAATTTGATATTTCAAAGAATACAGTTGGTAATTTCCTTACTTTAGTAAATTGTCACTACAAAACAATTTCTATTCAATTATTTTATTTTATATCCATCAGCAACAGCAATAACAAAACCTTTGAAATTTTCTTTCTCACAATATAAATCTGATTTTGCCTGTTGGCTAGTAAAGCATAAATTTACTACCTGGTCTATTACAGAACAAGTTTGCTGGCCCCGTAATCTATAAGCTCTTGGTTATTGGTGTCAGCTTTGTTTCATTTAAAACAAAACACACGCACGCACACACCATTGAGAGCTATGACTTGTGCTAACCTCCTTCACTCTGTCGCTGTTTAAATGCAGGTGTGCCCCTGGCTACGCCGGCAGTCCGAGCAGCCCAGGAAGCTCCTGCCAAGAATGTGAGTGTGATCCCTACGGCTCGCTGCCGGTACCCTGTGACCCGGTCTCAGGCCTCTGCATGTGCCGCCCGGGAGCCACAGGGCGCAAGTGTGACGGCTGCCAGCCCGGCCATGCACGCGAGGGCGCGGCGTGTGTCTGTACGTATCCGTTACTGGCTTAGCTCCTTTCCAGTGTGATCGACTGACTGACTTCGTGGCTGTTTGCAATAGCTGGTGCTACTCTTCCCTCTTCCTGATGCTAACTTTCCACCCTCTGCCGTTCACCTGCTGCTTTCGTCTCCATCCTGCTGAGCCAAGAAGAGCTGAGAAAATCCTCAGCATGCTTTAGTCAGTCCCTTGAAGGCCCGCAACAAAGCTCCAGGAGGAAAACTTTATGTTTTGTACATCTCAGGCTTTGCAGTTTTGCCTAGAGTTGGCCTTGCCTTTTTGACAGATTAAAGATCCGAGTATATTAAATTTTTTAGAATCCTCCTGAATTTGCAATCAGCTGGATGGGCATGTAAAGCTTTGAATTATAACTGGCTCTTCTGTCGCCAGCTTTTGCAGAAATCCATGGGCATGTTGCTTTATAACTTGCTCTTGAAATACAGAACCTGGCACAATGAACTCGTCTTTAGTTTTTTTACTCACATACGAAATAAAGGGTCTCTCCCTCTCTCCCTCCCTCTCTCCCTCTCTCCCTCTCTCTCTTCCTCCCTCCCTCTCTCTCTCTGCCATCTCTGTCTGTTTCTCCATTCCAGTTCAGTGGTGCCATCGTGGAAGCATATTGAAATCAGTAGTTAAAGACGATTCTTAAATCTCACATAAATTCGAATGTAAAACAGAGTATTTATAAATTTAAGGGGAGCAGTGTTATACTCTGACATTCTTTTCTATAAGGAAGCACATTTTATTTCAACGTGTACCTATTTGAATGTAAGCGTGCATGTCAGTGTTAACTTCTCACGCTCGCCTAAACATTAATAGAATTGTAATTAGAAAAATGCTTGCCTGTGCCCTGGTTTTCTGAGAGTTACTTCAAAAGCTAAGCCTGGATTTCAAAATATGCCAACAAGTTAAGACTGGATATGATTGGGAAGATAAATTTTTAAACTTTTGTCTTTATATTTTAACTCTCTTTCATAAAAATGTATTACACTTAAAGTAAAAAATAAATGTGGGGGCCGGAGATTTAGCTGAGTGGTTCCACTGCCTGCCTCACAAGCACAAGGTCCTGAGTTCAATCCCCAATAGCAAACTGTTTTTTAATTTTAAAATTATTTTAAATTTTAAAGAGATTAAATATAAGCTTTATTACCGTATTCAGTTATTGATATATACATATTTACTCTTTCCAGGTTTAACGACATTTTACTGATAATAAAGAAGTAGACTACCAAATACATTTTGTAATATTTCTTTCCAAGTAAATTACTAACCTGAAAATGAATAATTAGATAATATTAATATTGAGATACTCCTAAACATTAACCTAAGTAATCCCTAAATTATAAATCATCAATTTTATACAATATCCGGAAGTAAACTTTAAAAAGAGTATGTTTAATTTCATACACAAAATTAAACAATAGCACATTAAAACTTTGGAATGTTAAGTAAGGGAGTCATCTTCTGAACATTTCTTTAAAATAGAAGTGGCATTCTGCCTATTAGCAATGGCTTCAAGTTCCTTTCTCTGTTGATGGTCAATACCTTGTTTGTCTTCTAAGTAAGTTTCTTGTGATAGGAAAATTTAACTCACTTTCTTCCTGTCACGGGGTTCTCTAATTGCCACGCATCCCGTGTGATAGTAATGAAAGTGCCGATCCTCCACTTCCAAAATTACAGGAGCGCTCCAGTGTTCATTGGCACCATTCTTGTCCCAAGGGAAAAAGAGCTTGCACCTGCTGGGGTAGCATTCACCTACTGTGTCTTAGAAATTCTAATATTCTTCCAGAATACAAACAATGGTGATTTATTCTTACATGAAGAATGTTAGATTATGTTTTTTATGCAGAGTCATTTTCTAAACAGCTCATAATTATAATGTGTAGAGGCTCGTTATGCTGTTGTCTGCAGAGTCCACACGAAGGTCCCCGAGCTTGGTTCCAGAGGCGTGATACTGGGAGAGGACAGAAGTGGGGCTTTGAGGGATGTGTGAGATCACCGGGGACCTAAGGAATGTGCACTCAGAGAGGATGGTGTGACCCTGTCCCTTCCTCTTCTCCTTTGCCCTTGGTGAGGCCTTGGCAATTTGTTTCCTCCAGTGCTTCCTGCCTTTGCCCCCAGGACACGTATGAGGGGCTGGAAGGTGTACGGATGGCTGCAACTCACAAAGCTGAGCTAAAATAAATCCTTTTTACAAACTGATTATCTCATACATTGCCGTTACTGACAGAAAGTTACCACCAGTCACTTTCTGAAGGGTCACAGTGACTCTTCCGTGGAGGTGGGATTGGAACTTGCAAATCTTGGAAAGTTTGTCTTGCGAATCTTATTTTCTTAATCTCTTGGCTGGCCTCCAGTGCAGAATACAGAAAGTCAACATGGTGCAGTTCGTATATTCAACATTAATGAAATCAATCTTTTATTCATTTATTTCTTCTGGGCGTAGAATCCACTTTACCTCAGTGGAGAATAAAGGTGAAATGGGTTAAAGGTACAAAATGAAACAGTGCATATAAATGAAATCATATTCCAAATTAAATTCAGTGTTTAGGTTCAACATTGATCTTATGGAAAAATTTGACTTGGATCTTGTCCAATTCAGTTTGTGACCAGAATCTGGGAAAGAATTACTTTCATGAACCAAGGTACCACTATATTTTCTGCTAATTATGAGAGTCCTCCAAATTTTAAAAGAGTATGGTATTTATGATGGATGCTTACATCAGAGACTGTCAAGCAGAGATTTTCCTTTTTTGCAGGAGAAATAACCCACTGTCCTGGAGTTTAGATTAATTTCATAGCTTTTAAAAAAAATAGAAATTATCTGGGTCACGTGTATACTGTGTACTCCCTTCCACGTGTTGGAGAGTTCTGGTAGGGCATCTCAGGATATCTGAAAGCAGAATTTCTGCTTGGTAGGTTAAGTTATACAAATCCCTTGAGTTCTTTCCACAGTCATCTGCCCTACTGATATCTGAGAATGTGAAGACAGTCATTGTGTGTTTAGTGGTAAAATTTCGCGTTATGAAACACAAGCCTTGGATCTGCTGAGGTTCTCTTTTCTTTTGAGGCAGAGTCCGTGGACAGCAGCTCGTCTGATATTTAAGATAGGTCATGAGTGGCCTTGCAAAACACGAAACTCTCCTAGCAAAACAAAATTAAAACTAGTGACTGTTGACAAGATGTTGCTCCAAAAAAGTGTCTGAAGTAGCATTCAACAAAAATGAAATTGATATTTATTGTTTAATGGCTCCGTATGAGATTTATCAGTTTTTATTATTGATATTCACTTATTATTTAAAATATGATAGGTAAGATGATGCTTTGGTTGCCCATGTTGTGAAAGCAGTAGGGAAGCATACTTGGTACTGACCTGCAGGGACACTGTCACGATTATTGTTCTCAATAGCTGCCTCCAAGGACCTCATCACTATAACCTAAAGGCCCTTATTGTCACTGGAACATTGTTGATCCATTATAATCGAGGATGATTAATAATGGCAGTTGTTTCCTGTAAATATGAGCAGGAACAAAATAATAGACTATTGCTATCACTGCAAAGAAATAAGACTTTCTGTTCTAAAGGAGGATGAAAACAAAAAAATTCATCTCCATTAATCTATGCCTGCACATTATGCTCCTCCATCCCAGCCCCCTAAAGGCCCCCATCTCTACGCCCACTTATTGCCCGAGTAAGTTTCTACTCAGTATATCTGCTCTAGCTTCCCCAAACTCTGAGCCATGGTGTCTCAGATCTAGGCGCTCGTCAGTCTGTTAGAGCAGCTTCCATCCCGCTGCTCTGCACCCCTCTCCTCATCTGATCCATGAGCAGGACGTGCTTACATCTCTTGTTCCTGGGCCAGCTCCTATTACGTGAAACAGCAGCTGTCACCCTGACTCTGCATCATTTTCTAGCTGTGGAAGATCTGTCTCAGTGGCTCTCATCTCACATTGCAATAGTTGTTTTGTTAGCCGAGTGAGGCGCTGCACAGTTGAATTATCACACAGAGAAGGCTGATCGTGATTGCCTTTGCATCACGCTTTATTTTTAGAGTAAACTAAACTCTACTTGGTTTTTTCAGTGGCTATGCCCAAAATGTTTATTAACCTCAAAGACCAATATGATGGTTAAGTTAGAATTCTTAGAAGATGATGAAATGCTCTTTTATTCTGTGGCATCCTTAAAATACACAGTATCTTCGTGCAAGGAATCTTGCTGGGATGATGCAGCTATAGGTTCGAATTTTAGCCAATACAACATGTGTGACAATAGGTTAGATTCATTTTTCTGAACCTCATTTCATCATCTGTAGCATGAGAGTAAAATACTACATATATGTATAGGAAGTGTCTCAGCATAATCGATGCTCATTATCTTCCAGCTATAATTGTCATCACTGCTACATTGTGACCATTTTTTTCAAAGCCATGATGTTCTGTGCTGCTTATCAGTCTCTGATGAAGTGTTAGGCTGAATTCCAGTTTTATGTAATTATCTCTAATTCTAAATTATTTTAACTTGCTGAAAACTACTTTTATGATGACCTTCTATTTCTCTTTCCTTTAAATTCACTGTGTGCGTTAGTTATAGGTTCATAAACACTTTAATTGTGACAGGCTTCTCATCTAGAAAATGAGGCTATTAATAGTACTAACCTCATAGAATTGCTGTGAACATTTGGTAAGGTACTGATGGCAAAACACATTACACTGCCTGCCATGTACTGCATATTGGTACAAACAAAAGCTTTTGTCTCGTTATTTTTTGTAGATCATCAAAATTTAAAAATTTCCATTTGGTTTTGAAAAGCTACATCATCTTTGAACTATATTGAACTGTTTTGCATATTTTATATATGGAATCTATTTAATTCAAGCACTTTATGTATATATCATATGCATTATATATCATATATATATGTTTCAGAACTCAATACATGAACGCATTTCCCAGCCTGAGGTAAAGCCTGTAGAATACCTTTCCCTCTAGT